CCCGCTCTCCCCTGCCAGATGTGCGGCGGGGGCACATCTGGGGCGGGCAGCTGTGCCGGGCCGAACACTGGCGGCTCTGTGCGCTGCCGGTGACCGCGGCCATGACCAATGCGGGATCTCCGGCTCTGCCCGGCCCCGCAGCTGCTCCCGCCTCCTTCCCAGGAAAACCTCGCTTCCCTTCTTTCATCACATCCCTGCCTTTTCCACATGGCGAAGGGACGAGACACCCCGCGGGGAGGAGATGGATTTATTAAATATTTGGCGGATGACAGAACATGTCTCCCTGCTCGCAGGCTGCTGCTGGAAACGTTCCCCGTGCTTACGGCATCGGCTGCGGCGTGGCCAGCCGCTCCCGGGGACAGAACCGGTCCCCGGGGCAATCCCGGTCCCGGGGACAGAACCGCTCCCGGGGACAGAACCGATCCCCGAGGCAATCCCGGTCCCGGGGACAGAACCGGTGCCGGGGACAGAACCGATCCTGGGGACAGAACCGATCCCCGGGGCAATCCCGGTCCCGGGGACAGAACCGGTGCCGGGGACAGAACCGATCCCCGGGGCAATCCCGGTCCCGGGGACAATCCCGCTCCCGGGGACGGTCCCGCACTCCCGGGGACAATCCCGCACTCCCGGGGACAATCCCGCTCCCGGGGACGGTCCCGCTCTCCCGTGTGCCTGCAGGAACAGGGATTGGCACCGGAGCCCGGTGCGGCCCCCAGGGACGCCCCGGCTGTGTGGGCACTGCCAGGGCTTGGGGAGCCAGGGTGGCAGGAGCAGCCCTGTCCCTGTGCGTGTCACCCACGCTGGGATCCCGCTGGCTGCCGTGCCCGCTCCCTGCCCCGTGGCAGCTGGGATGTCCCTGTCCCGGCATTAACCCGGGATTAATTGGGATGTCCCTGTCCTGGCATCAACCCGGGGATGCCAGCGCCGGACAAGGCTCTGCCCCGGGACTGCCCGCGGGAAAATGCCCCAGGGAAGTGCAATTGGCAGCCCTGATCAGGAGGGTGCAGCTGGGTGAGCCCCGTGGCACTGCCCCAGCCTGCATCCAGCTCAGGGACAATTAAAAACGGGGTTAATTACCTCCCTAAGTGACACCCTTGGGTGACATGTCACAGCAGGGCCCTGGGCACCCCAATCCTCCTCTCCTCGGTGTCAGGGGTGCTGGGGAGGCCCTGCAGCTTCCTCCCCTCCCCTCCAAGCCCTGGATGCCACCAGGCTTCCCACACCAAGCCCAGGTGCCCCAGCCCCGCTCTGCCACCATCCCTGCCCTGGCAGTGCCCCTGGCAGGGCCCGGCTGGGCACCCCCAGCCTCTTGCCTGCAGGACGTGCTGGGAGACCCCCAGGATGTGCTGGGAGACCCCCCAGCCCCTCTCAGCTCTGCTTGGGGGCCAGACCCCGACCCCCGTGCAGCTGTGACACCCCCAGCTCCTGCTGGCCACTGCCACCCCAACATCCCCATTTTCTGTGCTGGGGCCCACAGCACAGCCGGAGATGCTGCACGCCCGAATGCAGCAAATTCAGCTGAAAACCCACGTGAGGTGGTCCCTGTCTCTGTCCTGCTTCCCATCTCCCCATCCTCATCCCTGTTCCTGTCTGCACTCCCATTCCTATCTCCATCTCCCATCTCTCCCCATCCCTGTCCTTATCCCCATTCCTGTCTTCATCCTCATCCCTTATCCCTGTCCTTACTGCCATTCCCATTCCCATTTTCATCCTCATCCCTTATCCCTGTCCCATACCCATCCCTCTGCCCATCCTTGGCCTTGCTCCCATCCCTGGCCTTGTCCCTGTCCCCATCCCTG